GGTATTGAAATGATACCTTAAAAGAAAATAATAAAAAAGCGTTTTATCTTTAAGTTAATTTATTTTTGTAGAATATTTTTTTCTCTGATTTAAGGAAAACATAATGCAGCCTTACTGAGGAAAATATCCAGGAATTTATATAATAAACAAATAACTAAAAAAATGATTGTGGACAAGGAGTATAACAATAGGCCGCGAAGAAACAGAAATTGCCAAATGCAATATAGTCAACCAAACCAGCCTACGTTTTTCTGGGCTCTCTAGTCACAAACCAGGGTTACTCATAGAATGAAACAAAGCGGCGTATTGTTATATCGGCTAGATGAAACAAAGTCACAGATAGGCTACCCAAGATATGAAGGGATCGTAATATCACCAAAGCCTTGGTGCCTTTATTAGAAGTAGGAATCGTTAGAGCTTTTGTATTTAATATATTTTTATACGCTAATGAGCTAATATAAAGCGAATGAAAATAAGAATAGCATTTCACGGACTCGGCAACGACGTACAAATATGTCCATCCTAAACGAACTCGGTATGAAAATCCGCCTGCATACTACAGTCAACACCAGAATCCTTCGCTTCTTTGGTAATATGATGCGCCGTGAGGATACCATAGTACGATTGGTGATACAAGGCAGAGTCAGGTCTTAGGGAGGTTACAATTATGCTGAACCAGATAGGTAAGCAAACATAATCTAAGCGCCTGTGACCTATTAATATCCATGGAGTCTCGGTTCGGTACTAACGGTGCTGCACGCCTCCAAACATTATGCCTAACCACGAGGAATAAGATGAGATAACAATATACACTGCAAGAACAGAAACGCACTAGCGATTTTTAGATGGCACATAATATGACGCTCAGCCCTGTAAAAATTCACTCAGGTGTCCGAATTCATTTCGAAAGTGACCTCAGTTAACCTACAATTGGTATTAATGTTGCATGGCATAAGTGAAGTGAGTTTCGAAATGACATAGGGATAAAATATCTGAAACACGTATAATCAATCAATCTTGTTTTCAAATACAAAAAATGGAATCAGTAGAATTTCTACACTAAATGGCGTGGATTCGGACACATTCATGGAATCGCTCTGCTGGTAAATGTGTAAGGAATTATATTAAAGCGTATGCGTATTTGTCTATGAAGATATCGGCCGATCAAACGTTCTAAAATGATAGCGACCAAACTTCGATCTACTAAATTCGCTAATGCATCATAGTGTCACAAACGTCGTTTACCTGTTGTGTCTAGGGGACGTAGGCGAGGATGCAGGTGTAGCAGCGGCGGCATCGAGTGCGGCCGCCAAAGCTGTCAACAGCGCGGCGGTGAGCGCTGGTTGCGGACGCGAACCCCGCACTAAAGCTAGCGCGCGTTCCGCTAGCGCCGCCGCCACGCTTTGTTCAGGGTCCGATTGAGCGAATAGACTCTTACGACACATATACATCACTAGTACGAGGCATCTGGAAGAAAAACAATGGTTTTTTATGCAAATAAGTATTAAACTTTATTTGACAGCAAAAAAAAAAGGTTGCTAAATATTTTTGACTCCTCATTTAACTTCAAAAATATTATATACTAGCTATGCCCGCGACTTCATCCACGTGGAAAGTAGCTTAAGTCATTCCTTATTACATAAGCTATCAGCCAATGAATGTCCCGTTAAAATCGGTCCAGCCGTTTCAGAGATAAATTGGAACAAACAGACAAACAATTTTACAAAAATTGTAAAAATAATGATATTTTTATATATGTACCATGTATACATGTATGTATTTAGTGAAAAGCGGTTATTTTAATATTACAAACATATACTCCAATTTTATTTATTTGTATAGACTATGGACTAATTAAGCTCGCATAGTACTTTCATTTTTCGCATAGTACTCACATTTGTTACAATTATTCGAAAATATATTAGGTATAGTAAGCACAAATTCATTAAATAACAAACAGAATTTCAAAAAATTAAATTGTTCAATAACCAGAAAGACATTTAAATTGTGAAGTTAACAACCAGAAAAGTTTTCAAAACGTGAGACAACATGATGAGGTTGAAGGGAGAATACTATCAGCGTTTCTAATGAAATTACGCTTCCGTATCTAACATAGTATGGAGGGAATATTGTGGACAGCTTTTTACTGATAAAACTATAGCATCATCATATAGTACACCTTCGAGAGTTGCGCATAATACTAAGGAACCATCTATACTAAAGAGTGAAGTTCGAGCCGCAATTAATCATCTGAAGAGTAACAAAGCTGTAGGAACTGACAGCATCCCTATAGAAATCTTTAAAACGATGGGCGAATACGGGGTTGAAATGCTACATATTATCTGCAATCGCATCTGGGAGACAGAAAAATGGCCCCAGGATTGGGCACACTCCGTATTTATACCACTGCACAAGAAGGGATCGACAAAGAAATGCAGCAACTACAGACTCATAGCCTTGATTTCACATGCCAGCAAAGTACTCCTACATATTATCAACACCAGGCTACGTGCTTTTCTAGATCCTGAAATAGCCCTGGAGCAGGCAGGATTTGTCAAGGGTAGAGGGACGAGAGAGCAGATATTGATTCTTCGACAAATAATCGAAAAGTCTAGAGAGTTTAACATCCCACTCTATATCTGTTTCGTTGACTTTCGCAAGGCCTTTGACACCGTGGAATGGCATAAGTTATGGGACGTACTCATTCATATGGGAGTACCTAACCACCTAGTCCGTCTCATACGCCGGCTCTACGAAGATGGAACTGCTACAGTGCGAATAGATGACAGCGATTCGAAAAGTTTTCAAACAAAGGCTGAAGTTCGGCAGGGATGCATTCTCTCTCCACTTCTTTTTAACATATACACGGAGTACATTATGAGGATTGTTTTGGAGAAATGGGATAAGGGAGTCTCAGTGGGAGGTCAGAAGACCTCTAACTTGCGGTACGCCGATGATACAACTCTTCTCACGCGTACAAGGGAGGATATGGAGAAACTGTTAACAAACCTAGAGACAATAAGTCTCTCCTACGGACTCGCAATCAACAGAGACAAGACCAAGATGATGATCGTGGACAGAGCTGAACTTAATCAACCTGATATCACCAACATTAGCAACTGTGAAGTTGTGCAAAGTTACGTGTACCTCGGTTCAACGATCACGAACACTGGTGGATGTGAAGATGAGATTCGTAGGAGATGTGCTATCACAAGATCTGCCGTCGACAAACTGAAAAAAGTATGGTGCAACCGTAACATCACAAAATCCACAAAAGTTCGCCTGATGAGAAGCTTAGTCTTCCCAATATTTCTATACGGCGCGGAAACATGGACGGTTCGCTTGAAAGACCGACGTAAAATTGATGCCCTCGAAATGTGGTGTTGGCGACGACTGCTGCGGATCCCTTGGACAGCGTTTCGGACCAACGTTTCGATTTTGGAAGAACTCAAAATCAAAGAGAGATTATCGTCGACTGTACAAATACGAATCCTCAGATATTTTGGACACGTTATTCGAAACCAAAACTCCATGGAAAGGCTCGTTGTCCAGGGACAAGTAGAAGGCAAGCGGTCGCGTGGTCGATCACCTACTCGTTGGACTGATTCCATAAAGGCTGCGACAGGTACCTCCATAAATCAATGTTGTCGCAACGCCGAAAACCGAAACAAGTGGAGAAGCATCGCAAGGGCGACACTATCTGAATTGAATGCATCATCGTGAAACCACGACCGCTCTGCCAAGAGTGAACGACTACGGAGGGAGGAGGATCTAACATAGTATAAAACAAAGTTGTTTCCCGCTGTCTATATACAACGGATTATAATGCTCAAGTTGTACAGCGAAAGATAAAAGTGATACCTCTCATTTCATTGTAACTTTTGGTTATGTTTAAAAAAAATCTTTTTGTTTGTTATCATGTTACAAAGTATAATAATTACCAAGTTAATGTTATTTTTATATTTTCAATTTACTTCAACATTTAAATATAAAATTATTATTTTCCAATAATTCATGCAAAAAATTAACAAACTAAAAGTTAATAAATCATTAAAACGATACTTTGATGATTATTCATAAATATTTATTTCATGTCTTTTGTGCTATCTATACTTTCTATTTTCATATAATGCAGATGTTATTTAGACAAGTTTGCAGCGCATTAGCAATTTACGGGACTTATATACCTGTCTAGAGCGAGCGGGGGAGCGTCAGCATGCTCTAGTGCACCAGCGAGCGTGTCAGCGAGGTACGGTCCCCACCAGCGCGCGCTACCACACAGGCGCGCCACCAACGTGCCGAGCGCTGCGCCCGCGCGACCGCCCCACTCCCACGACACTGGGCACACTGCACGACACCACTCCTCACTCACCTCCTCGTGTGGCTACCGAACACAACGGTAATGTCAAACATTAACATTATTCTACATTTATATAATCTTATTAAAGTAACTTCAACCCCCAACATGTTTATATACCACTAATTCAAAACCTATTTTGACTGATAATATAAAGAAATAATTAAAAAAACCGGCAAAGTGCGAGTCGGACTCAGGCACGAAGGGTTCCGTACCGAAAACGAACAAAAATTTGTTGTTATAGTGGCAACAGAAATTACCTGTGAAGATTTCAACTATCTAACTATCACGGTTCATGAGATACAGCCTAGTGACAGACAGACAGACAGTGAAGTGTTAGTAACAGTGTTTCCGTTTTACCCTTTGGGTATGGAACACTAAAAATTAGTAAAATATTATTAACTCTAAATAGCAGTACAGCATCTTTGTAGGCAGAGGAACCAAATGCCTCAAAGCACTGAGTTTATGTCTTTTGCTTTCTAGACATTCATAATTATTTCAATATCTATTCGGTGTTTGGGATCTTTTGGCATAATCATCAATCTGCGGCTTTACTGCGCTTTCATTTTTGACATCGCGTCTCTGCGATTTCGTTTGTAACATACCATCATGTTTAATTAAAAATATTTATTAAAATCTTATCTCAATATTTAGTTAAAATAGTTTTTTTTTTATTTACCACATCACCCATTTGAAAGAAGAAATACAGGAGCATATCTACAATATTTTCACTGATAACAGTCAATTTATCGGTGGAGGCGCGTTCCAATAATGCTTCTGAAGATATCTTTCCCTTGTTAACCATCTCTAGGAGCTTCGGATTGCAATCTGGCGCGTTATGCAGTTTCTTAAGAATATTGTTGCAAGTGTGCATCTGCTGCTGCAGCTCTATGCACTCCTGGTACGCAGAGACTACATTGTGGTCTGTGTCATTGGCAATGTTCAAGTAAGCCATCATGTGAGCGGCATTACCATTATATAACTCCAAATATGGGTTGAGCAAATCCATTAGTTTACCAGTGGCTAGCCTGTAATAAAATAAGTAGTTAAAAGAATACCGGAGCTTAAAAAAAAATTTGAAATACTAGAAATGTCAATAATAAAGTTGTTACCTAAATCGGCAGGATAAATCTTGTTGAAGGGCATTGAGAGCGTTTATGGAGGGTTGTACGTTGGCGATCTCTGCGATCTCGCCGTAAAACCAGCCAAGAGGTATCTTACACTTCATGGCAGACATTCCGTATCTTCCTATTGTTGTAATCTGTTTGGGCAAAGTAAAAAATAGTAGCTGAGGATTTTGCATATTTAAAAAGATGATTGTTAATATGTATTAAGTTAACCGATTAATCATTGTTGTCAATAATTTTAATAAATTTAAAATTATGATATATGGTATAAAGAAAGAGAGAGCAATTAAGATTTCTTAGCTCTTAACATCAATATGATCAACAACTAAAATAAAGTTTACCTGATATTTCTTGTAATTATTATAAATTTGTTACCTTCATGTATCGACATAGTGGAGGTGGTTGTATATCTGTAAGCACTAAGTGTTTAGTCGCTATATCAGTAGCAAATGCGAGTTTAACGCAGTCGCTTTCCTCGCCAACGACCCAGATGTCTATGCAGAGTGTTACTAAGTCCGAACATGACGGTATAATCTGTAAAAAAACATTTTACATTATCATAGTGCATTATTATGTATGCACTTAAGGTGAATAAATGTGCTTGTTGTTGTTGATATAATATGTAAAGCAAAAACTTTTGGACTTTTTTAAACCTTAAATTAAAATATTTATATACAGCATGGTACATACCACATCTGTGAGACGAACAGCATGTCCAAAGTCTAGCACAATGTAGCGACGAGCGCCCGAATGCATTCGCTCAACTACAAGGGTATGTTGTGGCGGACGAGTTACCAATGCTGCCCAAGGGATATTGCATTGTTCTTGTTCCTATAAGAACAGAAAAAATATATACATTAGAAATACGCCAATGTTTTAAGATTGAAAGCCGTTTAATTTTAAATAATGAAAGTAAAAAGTTAAGTCAAATAATGCAGTTTATTAATTTTATCCAGCTACAAATATCTGATTTTGAGTTAGCCCAATTATTCAAAACCAGATATAAATAGAGCAACCAACAAAAGGAATTAATCTAATATTATTTCCTCGAATAACTATTCAACCTTAAAATGTTTCTCTTCAGAGAACTCGAGTTTCTCCTGAGGATCGCACTCCATCAGCGAACTCTCGACGTCCTCCAAAGAGTCGGGATCCTGAGATGTTTGCTTCATTTGACCTTCTTTCACGACCGACCATAACTGTGAACGAAATTCAACTATTACAACGCGCAAATATCCAGAGATATAATATTTAATTAACACAAGAGAAAAAAAAAATAAAAACCTGGGATAGGGCAGTGTCTTTAGTTCACATTGGGTCAGTGTGGTTATATATCGCGTACGACATTATTTTGGATAAGACGTGATTTACACAAGCTTAACGATAAGAACGCATACAAATATAATAGTGGGCGAAACATGCTAATGTGCATTTTGTGATTTAATAATGTAAATCACGCCTTCGTCTTACTTCGAAAAAACGAAACCATATACGACATAAACGAAATATTCATTTCCAGTAGAAAAAAAATATGGTTATTGGATTTCATAAACGTAATGAGTACCATAATTACCTGACTGGGATCGGCTCCTCCAAATACGCCAGGAAATGAACTGACGACAGCTGGATGATGCCTGGGCCCTGTGGACTCGAGCTTTGTGCCATCCGATGCCACATGGCAGGTTACATGGAGCGGCATCGCTTCACTCAAACCGGCACCAAATACACCCACTCCGTTATTCTGAGCCCAAGCCGCTACCGATACCGGCGGACTCTTGGAGTCTGTTGGGGAAGCTATGTAGTCTATAGTAACAGCTGTGAGTGAAAGGCTGTTTATATGAAGGTGGTAGACTCCTCCAAATTTGTATGGTTAAAAAGCCATAGAAGTATAATTTTTAATAAAATCGAGCTGTTTTCCTACGACTTCGCCTGCGTAAATTATAGCTCATATCAGTTACCATACAAGCATTGATAATCTATGAATGAAGTGTTTCTAGTAGATAATAGCTAAAATAATGAAACTCGTTCATAAATTTTAGTAAAGCCAATAGTTTTTTTTTTGGCCATAGTAATAGTAATCGCATGAAACTACTCTCATTGCATTAATTTTATTAGCAGTTGCATTTGTAAACGTCCATTTCTACGTCCAATAATTGATTGTATTCCATTACGAAAATAGTTTCACATGTGATCAAATTAGTTTCATGAAACTTGATTTTATTCCTTAATGTAAATTTAGTTATATGTTGCTACTTAAAGCTGGATAGCATTGTGGAAGCACAGCAGAAAAAAGAATGTATATAATTCCTCTTTAAGGCCACTTTACAAAACTATTTTTTTTTATATAATAATAGTAATTATAAAGTAGCAGTAGAACTTACCGATATCGGGTGGCAAGTTTAGCAAATCTTTGAGTTGGCAATCTGTTTTTACACTAGGTGGCGTAGCAGAGTCACCAGTAAGCACACTTGCGTACGTCACTGGCGTTGAAGAACCGCGACCGAGTTCTGGCACTTCTGCTGCGAAGATCGTACGTTCCAACGGCAATCCATATAGTCCAAATCTATTAAATTACAATTTTGATATAAAAAATGTGGAGCATTACTATAGAATTGTAAGACTGACAGTGTATCTGACAAAGCAGAAGAAGGCGACCATGGTGTACGCAACGAATTTCCATTAGTCCTTGCATATTATACATGCATAACAAGGTGACACAATTTCCTGCATAACATTTCTTATAATAAATAGTGAGAGCAAGAGACTTCGAACTGAATGTATTTTACCACAGCCTTAATTCCGTTCAAAAAATATCTCATACTTCTTACATTCGACAGAGAAGAAGCAAACTTAGCGACTGTCCATATGGGTCACTCAAATAGAAAACAAGACCAATTTAAAAAAGGTGACCGTTTTGAAATTTTATATTTTAACTGTTCGAAGATAAAATCAAAAATAAAATCAATTCTAAAAGTGTGTACAATCAACAGGATGTCAGGTTATAAAAAATTAACAAATTTCCTCCATTCGATTTTAAGCTCTAATAGAGATCAAAATCCATTGTGCAAATTTGACAGTAGTAACTTGATGTGTATGTACACAAATACTTATGTCATAATTTTAAAAATTTGAAATTTAAAATAGTATTAATTTCTTCTGGTCCTAACAAAATCAGCAGACAGTGAAATACCTATACTAGGCATGTGTATACAGGGCCATGGGTCATTAGTAAAACAACTACGAGTTTTATCAGAATTCAAGACAATTCAACACAATTATATTTGATCTATTTTGCATTCACAATGCTATACTGTAACATATTCTCGTCTCAGAGTACCAGGGACAGAGAGGATTTTTTAAGTTTTTTTCAATAAGAATATAACACAACACTTTAAATAAAATTGTTTTCAGTTTTTATTTTACTGTCGTAACATTTATACGTCTATATTTTATTCTACAATCTCATCCTATCTTAATTTGTGTCTTTTACAATATAAATGTATTATTCAATAAAAACAGTCTTGATGTACAAAACTTACCTCGCTCTTAGTAATTGGTGGTACACATCGGCGCGATCTCTCAAACAACGTGCAGTACGCTCGAGCAAAGCGAGGCAGTTGCGAACTAATTCAGCAGCGCCTGCACGCTGTGTTGTGTGCTGTGCTAGAGCTGCTAACCAGCGCAACGCACCAGGCGACTCACATGCACCCAAGAATGGAATACATGCACTGACACTGCTCATTAATGTCTGTTCGAATGTGCATTTCCATGGTTTAGGAAGTTGTTTCACGCCCCTGTTGAAACAGATAGACATTAAAAATTTAGAAAACGCAACTATTTTTTAAATTTTGATCTCAATATCTACATTATCTTTCTTTGGTATCTTTGATCTGATTTCAGAATTTGAAATATAGGAATAAAAACCAAACAGTGTACAAATTTTATGTTTGTTACTGCAAATCAGTCACATTTTATGTTATTAAATAAGAATAACTATATTTTAATACTCACTCGCTAGTGACCAGCATGATTTTGACGCATTTCTTGGCAATACTTCTATTGGAGCATAAAATACAATTTTTAACGAGCACATCTGTATGTCGCTCTATAGTCTTTACGCACTCGAGTTGCTGTGTCTCTACTGGGTTATTAGCTTCCTTGTTTTTTCCTTTCTCTGATTTCGCAACACGCATACGTTGCAATCTAATGGATATCGTCCAAATCAACAAATCTAATGCTAGCTTACGTCTTTCGGAATCGCCATTTCCAGCAGCTATCTCACAGAGCGTGTTCAGGAATGTGTTTGATTCGAGCATAGCTATTCTTTGTTGTCGTTCCATAGGCACATCAGTAGGCGGACTAGCGCGTACAGTTAGGGAAATCTGGTGCAGCCAGTCGCACCCTATGAAGCCAGATTTCTTTGAACCATTATCATTCAACTTCGCCGGGCCCTTTGCCATATCTTTAGCAGGATCAAATAAAGATTTTATGTGTATTAAAAATGTTCTACCTCTCGCTCTATAAAGACGAGGACTTGTCAAAATCAAAGTGCCAGATTGCTGTGTCAAATCTAATCCAGAAGACAAAAGTAATGGGCCAGCTAGTATTTCAGCATTGTGCGCCTGAAGATACTCCTCACTGTTTACGGGATTTTCCAAAGTGGTCGCATTATCTGAATCGACCGAGATATGCACTGGCGAGTCTGATCTGTGGCCAAACGAGGCGTCTTTTTTATAGCCTAAACCATGCAAATTTTGTTTTAATAGAGTGACTTGAATTATGGGCAAGTTCGTGGAACATGCCGTATGTAAAGTAAAGCCAAATTCTATGTGGGCTAGTGATACGCTGTAAAGAAGGGTCAGCTCCAAGACATGTTCGTCCCACGTCGAGGATTGCAACCTCCATGTCCTATTATTTTGATGATCGGATCTGGAGCGCTGTGCTGGCGACAGTTCGCACCAGAAACCGGGTACCACTGCGCTATAAGGCACTGTCGTGTTCGTACCATAAGACCCTGTTAGCGATATCAACGTTTCTAAATCACCCATGTCCAACTCAGTCTTATTAGCGATAATGATGGGAGCCGTCGTCGGTCCACATACTTCGTCTCGAGGTGCTCTCTGTAGCATGTTAAAATCAATATTGGCGAATTCATCCTCGTCTGCATCTCCTGTGGAATCTTTTTCTCCGTTGTTTAGAGCATAAAAATAAATCATACCGTACTTCGTCGATACACTTAGACGTTCGACAGATGCACAGAACGTAACGGAAGTAAACTGTCCTTTTGGAACTCGTTTTTCAGAAAGCATCCTGAAGTCTGGAAGAGAATATAAACGCAAGTTACCATCTACTCCGACCACGGCGAAAGAATACTGATCGTGTTTATCCTTTGGTAACAAACATAAATCTACAGGACTTTCATTAAAATGCAATTCTTTAACTGTAACTGGATTATCCTCCAAAGTAAATACGGAAGTTTTATTGTTAATTTTATATAAAATGAAATAGGCCTTAGTGTCAGAATTGCCCTTATCACTTTGATCAGTGACTTCATCAACATCCATCTTTGTGTCACCATCACCATCAATCTCTTCCTCCACCTTGACTTTCTCTGGTTCTATACTGGATATTACTACCAGCAGATGTTCTTTGTCTTCTGTAGGTAACAAGTGTGTAACTTTAGAATCATCTTTGAGGTTCAGTTTTGTTGGAAGACTTAGGCACTGAATAGCTATAGCCTGCGTTACTTCCTCTTGTGGTGGATCACTATCGAAGCCATCGTTATTACTATTGCTGACGGCAGTTTGTGCTTTTACTTGGGTTCCACCGAAAGTTGTGACCTTAATCTTTTCAGTGCCATCACCGCCTTCGTACCATTTAAGGTCTGAAATTTCTAATGGTCCATTCATATTGAGGTAGTGAGTTATGGGATCGGTTTGATGGAGGACCGCATCAGTCTGATCAGCCAGTTTTGTACCAACAGACTCAAGGTTACCGCTTTTCCAACTTTTCAGTTGTGAGATTTTACCTACAAAATCAAGCATGCTGCCTTGTCCAGATTCAGGTAATTCAGGCAAGAGAGCCGTTGGCGGGGGAGGAGGTAATACTTTGGAATGTTTTGTAAAAATAATCTTTTTAGGTTCCCAGATCTTACAATCCTCTTTACTCGAGGACGCGTTCAAGTTTATTACGTTACTGATTTGTTCATCTATTAAACTGCTAGTGCATTGAGGAAGTTCCGTATCTTCGTCCGAATATTGAAAATAAACTTCGTCATAAATATGAGCATCATCTTTTCGTGCTACAGTGAACACCTTTTTACCATCGGCATGTTTAGAATTACCACTGCTATTAGATGTGTGTACAACCGTGGTAATCGAGCCGCCTAAAGAACTGTGAATGTCGTATGTTAAAAGGAAAAGCATTTTTTCTGTAGGTGTTTGATTGCTCTTTGCTTCATTTTGGTCATTCATGGCCTGAACACTTTGTTTAGATTTATCTACACCAGAATCAAACAAAGCTTTACTAGAATCCTCTTGGATGGGTTGGTTGGAGGGCGGGGAATTCGTTCTTGTAATAGTAATAGCGCAGACGAGAGAAGGTTTCGCTTTATTCGTAGTATTCTCCTTCTCTGAACTCTCTGTATTTTGTGCTTGAGGATATTGCTCCTGTTGAGACGTTATGCCCAGAAACGACATCGCTGTAAGTTCGAAATCGTATATAGCTGTAAAAATAAACAAGTAGTTAATTCCGACTTCAGTTAATGGCAAATTGAAAATAATAAAACAAATTAAAATCACATACATGTGTCCTTTTCTAATCCAGTTGACCAAACTTTGTCGAGGTCCGTACATAGAATACCGCTGAAGATGGAGTCGTAGGGCGATAGATGAATAAACTTAACGAGCTTTAGACCACAATCAAACTTCCATATATTTACAATATTGTGTCCACCTTCCACCGTACCGCATGCAATTAGATCGCCAGTATTGCCTTTGGAAACCACCTTCACGTTGGGACAAGGCACAGCGCACGCCGTAGCATTTGATACCTACCAAATTAAAGATAAATGTAATAAATCTAAATTAACTTACACTAGAATACTCAATAAACATTCCAGCCATCAATTTTGAATTGAAAAAACGAATGTCTTTAAAATCGAAAACCATTTTGTTTCAAAAATAATACACCGCGCGACGTCATAATTCACTATCATTTTCAAAAGTTACTAAAGCAATCTGGCCAATTTATACAACTATACATATCACTGGAAACCTTTGCATTCTCTGCAATTTAAAGTTGGCAACATACAGTGACTTTCACACTAAACTATTACAGTATTACTGCTGTATTGTGTTAACCTTTAACAAATTTCTTGGCCAGACTATATTCTGTAATTTTGTAAATGTGATTTTGCAACTGAGTAGATATCTCGGTGATCGTTGTTGTTAAGCAACTGTCGCAAGGGTCGGTCACAGGATGGGTGATCACAAAATTATTATCTCGAGCTACTCTGTGCTTCGGAAGACACGTTAAGCCGTTGGTCCCGGCTGCATCTACAGTCGTTAATACCTTCCAATCCACATTGGACCCGCGTGGACGGTCATGGATCATCTTCCTTATTCGATCATCGTGAAAACGTTACAAAGCTAATGATGATCTGGCAACTGCCACATTTCAAAGGAAAAAATTGATTTTCATGAAAATAGATTTATTTCTACTAAAAATAATACTTCAATGTTTTTATTCATCTAATGAAGAGACTGACACACCTTTGTAAAAATAGTCCAAGACCATATTAAATGGATTTAAGTTATAATCAATAAAATCAATATGCACCTTATAATATATGTGGTACTATATTACAAACTTACCGATATAGGCACGTTGTGAGTGTATTCGCCACGCACGAAGGGGCAGTTAGGCGAATGCCTCTCGTGCTCAACCCAGGGCTCGTCCGATTTTTCCCAGCACACAAGACATACCAAACATGTGAAACACATCGCGCGGTCATCGCCACTTGGCGTTGGTTGGTGGTAGAAACCAGCCTGTGCCATGCGTGCTGGTAATGCCCATCTGATAAAGAAGTATCATAAATAAACATTAGACACCGTCAAATTAAGCATTGGCTAAACATATTACATTAATAAGAAAACACTAAAAACATATAAAAACGGCGTAACTTACTTATAGTCCATGTGAGGCCACCTTTTGAAAGTCTCTTTCCTCTCTGCTTCAGAGTACATTAACGGCCGGGCCTCTTCATCTCTTGTCCGTGGCACTAGTTCATTAGCACGTTGACCGACAGCTGAGGCTATGGCTAGAGCTCGAATCCGCCGGTTTTGTCCTTTCAACTCTTGCACCACACCAGTGGTCACCAAACGTACCGTCGATTGTGGCAGACAGATAGTAACTGTGCTCCACTACATAGAGCAAAAAATTGGAATTCATAATTATTAGCAACTCTGTGAGCAATTCTTAAAAATTTGGTTAAATTGTGGTACTTACCTTCTGCGCCTTAAAACCTTCACGGACGGGTTCAGCATCAATGGAGGTTTTGAGCTCATTTATAAAATCAGTAAGACCATCAATAGAATGAGCATCGAGACTTTGTAGACATTGATACAACAACACGGCCTGAAACAATGTAATGGATAAACTGCTACATTATCAGCAAGTAACTCAGCAAGTTATTTGCGGGTCAAGACAAATGGCATGAAAATGTTTTATTGCTGCGCCTCCTAGAGAATAATCATCGTAAATACCTCACCCAATTTAAAAAAAAACCCATTTTAATTTGGTATTGTTTTAACCATAATCTGTAGTCACTTGTGATCACCACCAGCCCTATTACGTCCCCACTGCAGGGGCTCAGGCCTTCCTTATGGATGGTTAAGGAGGATGGGCCATGACCCTCCACGCTGGCCCAATGCGGATTGGAGGGTATTGACGACTGCAAATGCAGCCGGGACCAACGGCTTAACGTGCCTTCCGAAGCACGGAGTAGCTCGAGATAATAATTTTTTGGTCACCCATCCCGTGACCGACCCTTGCGAAAGTTGCTTAACGACTACGATCGCGGGCCGCGGCGCTTATCCACTACGCCACCGAGCTACTCACTTGTGATCAAAGAAATTTAATTATACTCTGTGTGTAATTATACTGTATACTTTGTAGTATAGTATACTATTATTATAGTTATAAAATAATTATAATTTACAAGTTTGAAAATACTATTTTAAAAGGAAAAGTTTAATCTATTATTTGGAACAGAATTCAAACCACAAATACTTCCATTTAGAACATTAAGGTGGTCTATCTAGGTATATCAGAAATAAATGGAAACAATATATTGCACACAGAAAGGCTCATTCTAAATACATACTCCTCTTCCATTCTTATAAAGGCAGATATTATAAATACAAAATTCATGTCTATGATAGATAATAATTATTTTTCTTCTTATCAGAAAAATAATATGAGCAAGTAAATAGGTATATTACATCCTAAAAGATCATGATTTCATATAAAATCTGAAAAGATTCAGCAATCACTTTCTTCAGATACCCATTTAAGAAGAATGCTTGGTCTTTCCGGTCCATGGTCAAACTTTGTACCCTGCCCATTGACACTTCATTGATGAAAATGGTATTTTCAAAAATTTGATGTTGAAGAACAAATGTCGTAAGTTTCAGTTGTCTGGATATACACTAAGGATAATACATATTTTATTGCACATCTCTGGGGATAAAAGTACCACCAAGGAAATATGTAAACAACGCGGGATAAACCACTGGCATTTAAAACATAATAATATTTGAGTCTGCTTACAATACCTGCTATTCGTTGGTATAGACAGTTCATAATAGATCACTGTTTCGAGATGCGATCATAGTTTGCAAACATTTTCTAGATCATCCAAATACAATCACAGGACCAAAAAAAATTGGAAATTTCTTCATATTTTATTTGATATCAAAATGGTCTAATATACAAAAGATTTAGAAATATTTTTTTTTATATGAATTTATTATACTGTTTCAAATTAAGTAAATATTCTGAGTAAAAATCAGTATTCAATTTTATCATCTATGTAAAGGACGTTGCTCAACGTCCATACATTGGTGGCCCCAGAGCCAAAAAAATATAGGAAAATACTTATTTTATTGTGTGTCACTAACTAATTCTCATTAGGTATTTATTATACCGCGACCGAGTTTTAGAACTTATTATCACGCAAAATAAAATTCATTTTGAGGTTATAATTTGTTTGGAAAACCACCATGAGATGGCACTCAAGTACATGATATGATATTGATGTCTATATTGTCGAAGCAAAAAACTCAACTTTAAGAAAGTCTGTTTTTCGTTGCGATTTGTAAAAGTTTCTAAGTCAATCAATAGACAAATAAATCATTCTAATATTTAAATAATATACCCATTGATAAGCTTAAAATTAAAAAACCTATAGCTTTTTGATGGTTTACATCAAAACATGGCGCCTAAACACATAAATGACATGATGTTAATATGTTTACGAGAAATAAAGGTAATGTAATAGAAACAAAGTAGTTTTTAGGCTATGTCGTATGAATATCAATCTTTCTGAATAAACGAGAGTGAATTATCAACAGTTAATGAATTTAGTTTGTATAATATTCAGTTTTTATGTCTTTATGTTTTACTTGGAAAATCACCAAGAGATGGCGCTTTTAGTAAATTTAAGTTTATTTTCGGTCAATTTAATTTAATGTTTTTGTGTTGAAATTTTATAATCTACTTCATATTGGTAAAACAGAATAAGCACCAAATGATTTAAAGGTTATCTAATAAAAATAAATGTTCTTCTTGATCTGACGTGTAAATTACATCCATCTGACTCAATAGAATTTAAGTATATTGAATGTGAATATTTGCGAAAGTACTTTTAAATATTAATTTTGGATTGCAGCTTGTCCGTGTCAAATAAATATTTGATTCCAATTTAATAAATAAATTAGTAATTATTATTGAAGTATTAATAATTAATGGTATTGGTGCCATTTTCAGCGAAGTCCTTTATCTAAATCTTTTGATTTATATAGAACAGAAGCTTTATTTTTTCATTAGTAACAATTAATGTCATAATCTTCCTGCCCTGTCCCTAATCTATGTGAGTTTGGTCCAGTATGTAGTCTTCTTCCAGTCTCCTCTGTCAGCTGTCATCTCATCACTCACTCCCTTAACTTTCATATCATGCCTCACACAATCTATCCATCTTTTCTGTGGTTGTCCTCTTGCTCTCCAACCATCGACATTTATCTCCATCACTCTTTTATGTAAATTTATTTCATCACTTCTCTTAATATGTCTGTACCAGGGCAATTGCTTTCCTTTCAGTATTTTAGTGACTAGTGCAACTTTCGAACTACCTCTTTCATACTATTCCTTACTTTATCCATTCACCTCACTCCACACATTCATCCCAAAAGGTATTATCACCGATTTGATCAAACCTGTTGTAATATAAATCTTGCACTTTTATAAATTAACATACATAAGTTAAAATATAAGACATCCTACTTAAGCTGCATTCACACTAAACTGACTGTCATTTGCTAATAGTGTATAAACAAGTATAAAATATTTGTCTATTCATAATTAACTTAAGCAATATTATAAATATAATAAGCATAAAAGTGTGGTTATTGCTAATAGTATATTGCACCCATATTGCAATGAATTTAATTGTAGATACTTTTTGGTCAATTAACAAGGTTATTAAAAATTTCACACATTTATTAATTTATATCCATCCTACTGATTCATCTTCTGACGTCCACACCAAGTTAAGCATATGCAATAGGTTCCAGATATTATTAATTATAATATGACAATATAATAAAAAAAATAATTGACACAAATAAGTTTATGTCATCATTAGCTTTTTTCCCTAGACTTTGCTTGCATTTATAGCTCATATGGGTGATATACCCATATGATGTAGCTTCCTATAGGTAAAACAATTTTAATGATCAAATCAGTGATGATGAATCCAACAGAAATGTTTTTGTAAAGTTTGTGGTTTTTTGAAAATACATAGACAGCTTTTATGTTCAGAAACAGATAGTGTTTTAGTTTTAAATGGTCCTAAGCAATAGATTCCTAATTATCCAAACTTTTGTGATGATAAGCAGTGGAATGGCATTTTAATAGACATACTCTTTTCTATTCAAACATTAAGTGTCCAGAATAAGTGAAATAGATATTATAAAATCCCTTTTCAAAGTGATGAATAATAAAAAAATATTTTTCTTAGTAAATAACTCATTTTTATTCTTTGTACTTATGTATATTTTAATGATATTCCTTATGTTTTATTCAAATACTATATTGCATTTAATTGTAATCAAAATCTTCCAATTAAAAAATGGTATAACTTTGCATGAAATATATGTACCACATTCCAACTTCTTATAAATAACAAAGTGGACATTTGTAATTTTAGTGATTTTTCATATAAGGATTTTTACATTGACACATAAATATACATACATTTGGTGCTTATTCTGTTTTACCAATAAGAAGTAGATTATAAAATTTCAAATTATAATTTGGATTTTTTCTTATATTATTCTGTAATCAAAGTACTCGATTAATTATACTTGTGTACACTCAATCCTCTTTGCCTACCCCACAAGGGATACAGTGTATAGATAAATAGATACTATAATATAATAAGCTTGCTTCCAATATAATTATTTTCACAATTGAAAATGCAGTTTAAGATCACTTATCCTTAAAATTATCCATTAAGCCTTTAATACTTCCAATAGAATTTTCCAATAACAGACAATATAAACATAGTGAAAATTAGACTTGATCGACATACCTAATCTTAATATTGACAATAGAATTAATTCAATTGATATTCTCATTCAATAAAAACAAAAATCTACATCATAAGTAATACATAAGTACACTATAACATTCTACTTTCAGACTTTACATATTACTTTTTAGCATTAAAATATTAATTAGACCGTTATAATATCTCAATTATTAATATTAGAACTTTTATATTTTATTCTGATAGATGTAAAATTTATTTTGGTAAGAAAGGAGATTGTGAAATAAACTTTCAGAAGATTTCCATACCTCAGACAAAACAAGTTCGATGCGAATTATTTTATCAGGTTTCGAGGGCTTCAGCGGGCGCTGCAACGCCGTGTGAAGTAGGAGGACCCCATTATAATCGGTACGGGCGCCCACGCCGCTACTGTCCCAGACGAACACTCGATCTGCACCCACCGCATATTCTACGCCAAGAGTACCCCCGTCATCTACAAGATCAAGCAGTCAATACAGGAATTGTTTATCATCAACTGTCAAGTTAGACAGAACAATGTAGGGCATGGATTCAATTTCTTTGTCAGATATGGCCATCCCAAAAATAATATAACCCAGATAAAATATTTCTATATCAATTTATTACTTACACCGCACATAATCTTTTGTTAGAAATGTAATAGTGAAAGAAACTTACCCGCTGACAGACAAGAAGACTGGAGGATCACACCAGAGTTCACATCCAAAACGTGTACACCACCTACGTCAGTCTTCACCAATATTATATTTAAATTACTATGATACGTTAAAGAAGTAACAGGAAAGTTCATACGTATATAACCATCTTCTCGTAATATCAAAGAATCATCGCCCATCGTGGCCGTGAACACATCTGTCTATTCTATGTAAACGCCATTTGTAATTTATATTTTTTTATGTCAAATACCCAAAGAACCAAAGACAAAGAAGTGGCCAGGAACAAAAATTAACTATTGACTAGAATTCGATAAACTTATGAATACAGAAGATTTTGGATACTAACAAAGCGTATACTCCATTCATTATAGCATTAGACAGAATGAAAATAAGGTTCTTTTTATGGTATACTTTGTGACAAAATATCAACAATCATGTTACTCTTAAGACTAAGGGCGCTTGTGCACTACACTGAATTTTCATGTCCGGCGGTCCGATTTTTTCTACACTGAATTTTCAGGTCCGGCGGTCCGATTTTTTCCGGTCCGGAATGACATGAAAAACTCGGATGAGTAGCTTGTGCACTTGTCCGTTTTTTTCCTGATCGGAGCGGCGCAGTGTAGGGCAGCTCTCTTTGAAGCTACACGTCACTTACGCTAGATACGATGAGATTGTTGGAACGTCGGTAATTCCGTTCGAAGACGTAGAAAGGTACCTAAATAATGATCTGATCGTTTTAAGACGAAAGCATTTTTTTTACTACTATCGGATGACTACTATCAGATGTAAAAACTTATACCCTTACTAATTTAGGAACAGCATTATTCACATAAAATAGCTAAAAATATCTGTGACATTAGAATAAAATTACTGATAATGGTCTAGTACTTTATGTTTAAATTTTTACGCGTGCTATTTTTTTCGAAGTTTTGTAAAAACAACTTTCAGCGATTACAGAGATATACCAATCGGTGGCGCCATTTCGTAAACAAATCGAAATAAGTGCCGTGTTAGCGGAGAATTATTATGCTAAATGAACTACGAGATCAGTTGACTGTATTATATATATAGGCATAATTTTATACGCGTGGTGTAGTTTCTTTGAGCAGATATATTATTCCCTTAGAATACTTATTTTTTAAAATTTATAATGACACAAACATACATTAAAAATTGTATTAAATGCGAAAAAAACATTGAGTGTCACTTAATTACTTTTGTTAATCTTCTGTTTATTCTTTATTATTACTTCTGTTGTCAAATATTTATCTATACTTATCAATTGTCTAAAAAAAATTAGATAATAACAAATTTCCAGGCAAACTTTCATCCCTTATTTTTCGCGATAAAATGTAGCCTATGTCCTTTCTTAAAGTTAAGTCTATTTACTATATTAATTTCCATTTAGATGGGTTCAGTTGTTTAGGCGTCTAAGCGTAACAACACTTATTTATCTTACCTTAAGTTATCGATACTTTTAATACGATTCTAAAATCTAGCTAAGTATCGATACTAGAACCATACGCTGATCAAATTAGAACTATACCGAGTTTGCCAAAGCATATGCAGTGATATAATCCAACTATATTAAATCATCATATAAAATATAGCATTTTATAATCAACAATAAATATCGATTATAAGTTTATTGGAAATTAATAATTTTGCCGAAATAAATATCGATTCAAATCGATTATTTTTTCCCAAGCCTATTCCTTATGAATTTTCCGGATCTCGGACACAGCAGTGCACAAGCGTAAACACGTTTTTCATTGCCGCCATCACGGAACTGAAAAAACCGGTCCGGAATAGAGAAAAGTAAAATTCCGGACGGTAAAATTCCTGACAGTGCACAAGCGCGCATTACCTACATATGGCCTGACATATCGGACCTGAAAAAATCGGACCGCCGGACCTGAAAATTCAGTGTAGTGCACAAGCGCCCTAAGGGCGCTTGTACACTACACTGAATTTTCATGTTCGATTTTTTCAGGTCAGAATATGTCAGGCCATATATAAGTAATGCCGTCCGGGATTTTACTTTTCTCTATTCCGGACCGGCTTTTTCAGATCCGTGATGGCGACAATGAAAAACGTGTTTACGATTGTGCACTGCTGTGTCCGCGATCCGTAAAATTCATAAGGAATAGGCTTGGGAAAAATAATCTATTTGTGTAAAATCGATATTTATTTATGCGATATTGTTTATTTCCAATAAACTTAAAATCGATATTAAAAGTATCGATAATTTCAGGTAAAATCTAAATCCATCTTAATGGAAATTAACATAGCAAATAGACTTAACTTTAAGAAAGGACATAGGCTACGTTTAATCGCGAAAAATAGGGGCTGAAAGTTTGCCTGGAAATTTGTTATTATTACATTTTTTTAGACAATTGATAAGTATAGATAAATATTTGATAGCAGAAGTAATAATAAAGAATTCTCAATTTCTTTTTCACATTTATGTCTATATTGTAATAAAATTTGAAATGACTGTTTGTGTCATAAATAAATTTAAAAAAAGAAGTATTCTAAGGGAAAAATATTTCTGCTCAAAGAAACTACACCACGCGTATAAAATTATGCCTATATATAATACAGTCAACTGATCTCGTAAAGTTCATTTAGTATATTAATTCTCTGCTTACACGGTACTAATTTCGATTTGTTTACGAAATGGCGCCACCGATTGGTCTATCTCTGTAATCGCTGAAAGTTGTTTTTACAAAAATTCAAAAAAAAATACCGATAGTTGTTAAAAAAATGCTTTCGTCTTGCCTTAATTTATTATGGTTTATGTCAAATGATCAGGTCATTATTTAGGTACCTTTCTGCGTCTTCGAACGCAATTACCGACGTTCCAAAAATCTAATCGTACCTAACGTAAGTGACGTGTAGCTTCAAAGAGGGCTGTCCTACACTGCGCCGCTCCGATCAGGAAAAAAACGGACAAGTGCACAAGCTACTCATCCGGGTTTTTCATGTCATTCCGGACCGGAAAAAATCGGATCGACGGACCTGAAAATTCAGTGTAGTGCACAAGCGCCCTAACGGCTAATCTGCTACATATTCACTTAAATACCAGCTGCTAAACTTAACCGTTGTCTTTTAAGCTATATATTAAACAAATTTATGAGTATTTGTCTGACTTAAAACATTTAATAACTATTACAATAAAAAGTGTTCATCTTAAAGAACCTAAAGAAGCAGGGTTGGATAGTTTCGGCAAGATTCTCATGTCACTATAACTCTACCAAATTTAAAACGTAGCCTAATTCCTACAAACGTTTCGGCAGTGCAGCTTTTTAATTTTGTCAGATTATGATTTATTCATAATAGTCACAATACGTAATCTGGGATTGTCATTCATTGTGAAAGCTACTGCCTTTTTTGCTGTTTTGCCATTTTCAGTGATTGAGTTATTTTTTTGTTTGTTTCAGTCCAGTACTAACACAAAAAGTCCAACTGTATCAATCGAAGATTTATACAATTATAGACACTTCGTTTCCAGCTTACGAATCCTTTGCGTCCATATTAATATACTTGCTTGTCCAATCTACTTCCGACATTGGCAGAATAGTCGACACCGGCTCTATTTGCCATCAATAAAAAATAGAAATAGAGTTATTAGGTTATTACTTTTTTATTGTTGTTTTCTGTTTTAGTTGTTATCTTTTTGTTATAAAGTTTTGCTTAATATGGACGATTCCGGTGCAGGCCCGAGTGGCCTACAACAATTACCTTTGATATTTCAGGAAGTTTTTCCAATTTCTTAATCAATAGTCTAATAATATCTGAAAAAATATTATAACAGTAATAATAAAAATTTCATTTTGTTTACCTTTATTTTCCGGCCATAGATATAACTAAATTATATTCTAATTATATACACTTACAATTAGAATTTATCAAAACAACAGAAAGATAGTTATATTTCCATGTTGGCTCTCAGTAAAAGATGAATTTAGAAAATTCTAGTCTCATCTCAACCTCGAGAAAATGTAAAATTGCCATACTCTGTCAGACTGTCTAACGATCAAAATTTCAACAAAACTATTATTTAATATTTTTTAAATTTATCTTGTACATAAAATGTTCTGCACTGCTGCTTCTGAAATCTTCTTTTTTCTAATGTTATAATGAGTGGAGTAAAGGCAACCTATCTGGATGGGTCTTGAGATCAGACTAACTAATATTTAAATACTACTAAAGAAGCTCCGAAACGAGACTGCTGAGCAAAGCAAAGCTTAGCAGTTGTTATAAGCCTAACTACGGAAAGGTATAAAAGAACGAACGCCTTAAAAAAATTAAATATAAGTAAGGCAGAGGGTTCACTCGTTTTTATACGTTTTTGTCTGTTCTTGCTGCAAAGAGCTAAGAATCTAAACGAACTAGTTCCTTCAGGAGTGTGGTTTAAATAGGGTCGATGCGCCTGTTGTTCGTTTAAGTACCTCTCATGTTCGACCACTTAATCTTTAGACTTTTGAAAAAAAAAACAAAAAAGTAATGGTTTAATGGTCTAAAATTTGAACACATGTCAACCTGGATACACTGATTACCCCCATATACGTAAATTATATAATAAAATTAATAACAGCTTTACATTAGTCAAAACCAACTCCTTAATGTCAAAAAAATAGTAAGGTGCCAATACTTTAAAAGTGAATTTCTAATTATTATATTAGATCGATTTTGCATTCACAATGCTATACTGTAAATAGTAAGTGCTTAAAGAACTTGACAAGTCCTGTAAGAAATTTCAAAAAATATACAACTTCAGTAAATACGGATGCAGTAGCTCAATAGCATAGTGGATAACCATTGAGCTACCCCGGACTTCACAGGAGGTAAATCTACGACAGGGGTAGTCTTCAAAAATTAAACAACTTTACGGCGAAAATAAATTATTTATAATTGTATAAAAATCATTTAAAATGTTCTCTTAGACATATACTTATATAAAGGATTGTTTTCATTTACAATGGATATTTTTTATAATTTAGAATTGTTACTTATATAATATACCAATTGTCTAAAACAATAATATTTTTTCACATTTACATCAATTACCGCGTATTAAACTTTTGTTCGATAAATGAGCCGCCAATTGGTAGATTAGGTCACCAATCAAATAGTGTCGTTCGATCTCGGGCGTACAATAAATGTATACGCCTTGAGTGCTCACCACGGGGTTCGTGGGGTAAGCGTAACTAGCAAAGTTTTTATAAAAATATTTTTGTTTTATTTATCGCCGATACTAGGAACTTAAAAATAGAGAATACAAATGTCTGTGATTTTTACTTTACAGTAATGATAATAATATAAAAGTGCAGTGAATAAAAACGACCTATATCACTTACTGAATGGACGGAACGTATTTAATAATAATATTATAGGTAAAAGACTTTACCCACAGAGCCCGATTCGTGCGCCAGTAATAAGTTTAAAAACATACTTCATTTCCTATTCGCTTTTATCTTAACATGTTTTACTTTGCTCATTGGCAATTTCTTTTCAAACACCACTTATGTTGTGTATTTTTACGGGACCCACTACCGCGATCGTCTCAAAGAAACCTTGAAGTAAAACGAATGATGAAGTAAATTTATATATCCTTGCGATCCGCTCATGATCGAATCAGCAGCGCGGTTCGGGTGCTGTGGGTAAAGGCCTTAAGAACTTCAGTCTGGTATCAATAAAAAGGAAGTATCAGGTACACAAGAGTCAAATGAAATTTCTAAGGGAAAAACTAAAGAAGTAGTTCTACTTGATCAGAATCTAGTTAGATGAAATAAAAATTCTTTATATATCTATTTATAGAGTTTAGTCATTTTGTAACGAATTGATGCGCGATACATATATGTATTTTACACCATTTCATTACTCACGAATAATGACAAGATACTAGAATGTAATTTTTTTTTTTCAATTTTTGAACTGAACTATCTTTTCTAAACATTTCATTGTATATAAAAAATATCACATATAAGAGTATTATGTGAGTTAGCCTTATCCTTAGAAAGTCTATTAAAATTCCCAGGAGTCTAGCCATTTCAGTCCTGTCATAGTGGAGTTAGCTTCGTGAGCAAGAGGGCCGCTCATGCCATATGCCAGTGGGGAGAACAAATAGAAACTGTAAATAGTGGTGGATATAATAATGCCGATTGTGCAGTGATACACGGTTTTTCCCAGTTCCCGACTAAGAAAACTACTGACGCTCCTTAGCAAGTATTCCGTTAGGATACCTGTAAACAATGAAATTAATTTATATATTTATGTAGATTATATCCATCTCCTTTTTTATCCAATATTTTAATATATTTAAATTAGAATAGTACTGAGCTTGCAGGTGCTTGACATTATCTTGTGCAGTATTGAAGAAGAGTTTGAAATCACATTATAATAGCTCTCAAAACTTGAAAAAAGTAGATAAATAATATATTACAAATATATGCTCAAATACATATGGCATTAAATTAGTTAAAAAAAAAAACTTTTACTTATAACAGTTATAAACATAAACGCACAATTGACAAAGCTATTACAAAGATTGCCAAAATATTTACAGACGCCAATACGTTTTCGCTACCGTAGCACTGTGTGACGTCACTTAGTGCCGTGAATTTGTAGGGAGCGTTTTCGGGCGACTAGCAGCAGTTCCACAAACATTGATTGTAATTTTATATTATAAAATCCATTCTTTTAGCCTTCTTTCATAAATTGTGCAGGTTGAAAGGCATCGGTAAGTATTGACCGTAATGAACATTTGAAATTATGACAAAAGATTTTTTTTTCATTTACCAGTGAGCATGGAGCTAAATACGAGCGCTGGAAAGTAGTGGTGGAAGTAGAGAACACGGCCCATGGCCCAGAAAGGTATATAGTGTAGTGCCCAACCCACGAAGTTCCAGCTGGCTGCATTCAGCAGCTCATTTTCTTTGCCATCTAAAAAAAATGTATTCTAGATTTTACAGATTACTTATAATAGGGATGATGACTAAATGTTGTTCGTTTGTCCGTCAGGTACGTTATTGAACATGCATTTTTTTTGTTCCTTTTGCGTAATCAATAAATTACGGCGATAAATTGAGTTGAAACGTCGCATGACGTCACGTTTTTGTACATTTTCTACAAAAACAGACATAGCGAGCCCTCACTGCTCAACTTTAATGCATATTATCTAAGCCATTTCTTGTTAAATTGAAGCAAAAAAAAAACGTATCTTTTTCATTTTCCTATTATCTAACTGATGGACTAATAGAATTTCTTTTTATAAACCCAGTCATCGTCCTTATTCCAAATAACAATATTCGATAAAATAAAACTCATTACAATAGTATTCTTAATAAATATTTATAAAATCCACTTTGTCCCTGGCACTCTGAGTTAATTTTTCATATTAATTCATTAGTAATGAAGAAGATAACACTTCTAAATAACACATTATTATACCTAATTTCAATAACATAACACACAAATCAGGTAGAAAATTAAAGTTTAAATTGTAGAAATTTGTGAATTTTGTATAACTTAACCTAGTGTGCTGTTACTGTATACAAGAAAATAACTTATTAGAGATAAAAATTTATCTTACTTGGTATTTCTATACTAAATGCTTCTGCTCTCTTCTTTCGGATGGAATTGATGACAAAGACCACGAAAAAGACGACGAGAAAGGCCAAATTAGTCCACCAGACTACAGGGTTGCCCAGTAGGTAAATTCTATGTGCGCTGCCAGAGAAGAACTGACCCTGACAAATTAAGGATATTAACAGTTAAAATAAACACGTCTTTGCATACAAATATTTCGTTATATACAATTATGTTTTTTTCAGAAATGTTTTGCTACCGAATTCGCAACTCTAATTTTCTCAGGTACTTATCATGCTGTGATATTGATATACCACAGTACTGATTTTGGGTAGTATAAATAGTAAGGAGGTCGAAACTAGTATTTCAATAACTAATATAAAACCAAGACAAATTATATTGTCGAAAAAAAGAGTTTATAAGTAACATCAAAAGAAAAAGTTTTAAATGTTCTATTGTATTCACCCTGTAGTTTATAGGCCATTGCCATGGTTGTGACGTTACTTCACCCTCTTTAGGTTTAAGTCCGGCGTTCCCTTGAAACATTACGGCGTGCGACTCAAAAAACCGCTCAACAAAGCCAGACGCATACGCTTCAAAACTCACTTTCGGTACTGAAAAACGAAGACAAATCTGAGGATAAAGATATATAAATAAAACCTAAAAGACTTCCACTTCGCGTTTTCTTATACCATCAATAAAAATAAGTAATTTTTTTTTTACTTTTATTAACTTCATGATGACTGTTTTCGTGGAATTGGACAATAACAATTTATTATTAACCTTCTTTTCCTTCCAAATACTTGTAGTCTGTATATTAAAAAAATATGAAATCCTCATTTTTGTTAATAACCAATTCCCTAACAATTTTTCTTTTTGTAGAATTTGTTCAGAACTCTGAACATTTCCAGTGAAATTAATAAACAATTAGCGTCAAGAGTAAATTTACGTTGCAATTGATATTTTAGTATTAGTCATATTATAAATTTATATTATACGGAGAGGAAACCTACTACCTTCTAGGAGTAAATATCACCCACGTAGTATCTTGTACTAGGTTATCCTTCACTAAGTCTCTGTTTATTAATATGAATTTAGATTAAAACTTATTGCAGTCTCAACGTAAATTTACTCCAACGCTAAACCTTGTTTATTATTATGTAACACTGTTAGAATTTATTAACTTTTTCTTACAATCATCAAACACATTGTCTTCGACGTTCCACACAGCGTTCTTGTCCCTTATGTTTGGATTGCAAGCTACTTCTTGTTGCTCATAGCCCCATTTTGGAAGCTGTTTCCCAGACGTAGTGAGGGCACATGCCTAGTGAATATACAGTTAATGCATCAAAATCTAATTTAATTCCAATTCGCATACCAGAGAGAATTTCGTACGTTGACCACTGTGCCTGCTGCTAGAGATATCTTAAACATTTTCAGCCTTAGCATCTGTTTAACTAATCACTACTTCACATCTTAAGTAGTCATTAAATATTACTGTTAACTCATTTGTTAACTCTTCAATGATAAATAACATTGTTTTTTTTTAGTCCTACAAATACTGGATGAAAATTCCACCAAAAGCCAAACGGGTGCGTCATTCATTATTGAATTAAAAAAAGAAATGTACCGAAATTTGATATTTTTGTTAAATTACTATTTTTTGCTTGTTTGTCCGTCAGGTAGATTTTTGAAGAATACTAAATACATATTTATTTATTTTTTGGTTATCAATAAATTATCGCGATTTATAGCAAATTTAAATAAGTCCTGAATTAGAAGTAGAGAGAGAATTTTGATCAAATATTATTTTCAAAGTATAATTTAAATTATTTTTAGAAGTATAGTTTTAACCAACTTCAAAAAACGAGAGGTTTTCAATTACTGAATGATTTTTGTATGGTTTCACGATATCTTCGTCAGTAGTGAGCCGTTTCTGCGAATATTTGTTTTTTGTTTTTTTTTTTTTTTGCAGTCATCCTTAATTAATAACTTATATAAATATTAACGTTGAACATAATTTTAAATTAAACGATTTACCGGTAATAGTTATACTTAGGTCTTAAATAGCTGTCAAATTAAGTAATTGTGATATTACTTAATTTGACAGCTATTTAAGACGTTGCTAAGATGCATTTTAACTTTAATAAAGTTTATAAGTAAACATTTTTGTTAATAAGCTTAGCAGTGTCTTCATTTTAATCAACGTTTATAGTAAGGTAAGGTTGTTTAGGATCACTTTATTATGTCAAATTTAGCAATATGTATGCCTTTGTGCGAGTACTGGTAATAGATTTGTGCGCGAGTGAAAGAGATATGTAATGCAGTGTCGTTGTACGAAATTTTCTCTTTTCAGCGACCAGAGTCCATATAGTAAAGAAAGGTAAAATCCAAACTGAATTATAATATTTTAATATACGCATAAAATTAAATTATTTTGGAGTTACCTGTAAATAATGAACAAGCATTAGTTTGCTTTTCACTGTGTGTACTTCATCGCCATCTTTTCCTCCAGTTATTACAATTTTCCATACGTCATTTGCATCTCCAATTCCATCCTATACGAAACGGCATTTTATGTTAAATTTTATTTATGTTGAATATTTTAGCTGGTCCTTCGAGCTGGATATTTTTTCTATTAGATATCTAATCAATATTTATCACATGTTGAAATTAAGTCGTGATTTTTTGTCTGTGTCACGAGACTTGAAATACGACCCGCCATTGTGTGACGCCACTGTGGCGACAGCTGTCAGATTAGTCATAAAGTCATGCCATTAATTATAAATTGAATTCCTAGATGGCACTGTTCTTGACTCATTTATATCTTTTTATTTCGCAATCGATCCTTAGATGGCATTGTTTTTGTTTTGTTGATATCTTTTAATCTTCTACTCTATGCACCCTTTTTATGCAAGTTAAGGTTTTGTGTACAAAGCACAATGAAGTATAAAAAGATTAAATCTAAATTTAATTTTAATGCAATTGAATGTGTTTATTTTCCGAAATATTTGTTTTATGGTTTTTTATATCAAAAAGACAGTTACAAGTATTATTTCAAACAGAGTAGAATACCCCATTGTCTTACCTCGCCGTAGCCGGTAACTTGCATATACTTAGTAGTGAGTGGCGCCCTCTCGCGGTGTGAATGTAAGTTGCGTCCGGTGGCAGCATGCGTAAGCCGTATCAAGTCTCCACTGCGCACGATTACTACCCCTGATACCGTGTCACGGTCAAACGGCTTCACCATCCATCGGTTGTTGTCGTCTTTGTGAGTGTACGTCGTAACCTATATTTTTTTATTTTATATAGGTATAATTTCATAATAAAAAACATTACACAAAAATGAACATATAAAAATACCGTTAAGTTAAAGGGCTTGTCTATGACTAGTCCTAATTAAGCACAACCTTTGTACTGTCGACAATAATGAAAATATGCAATAATCTCAAAATAAACAATATGCCTATTTAGAAACAATTAAAAAAATAAAATTACAAAAACTAACATTTTCACACTGCTTATTGTCCTAGCTATCTTTATTGTATACTTTTAGTTTTCTTCTCATAATAACTATTAGTAACATGTTAAGGTAATAATCTCTTCATTAACCTGTTGCTGCCTGGCACCTATCCCAGCCGGGTAGAGGTGGTGATGTGAATGCAGGTACCCTCCGCCAGTGCGGTGGTTTTTTAAAGTGATCTGGGCTCCATATGCTAGCACTCTTGGGGCACTTGCGTTATGCAAACTATTGCCTTCCAAACGCGCTTGGAAACCGGAAGAATAGAAACCATCACCATTACCACTGTAAATATAGTTCATTCCATATTAGTAAGAAAAATATGGATTCATATAAGATTTCATTTCAAATGTCTAAGTAATTTTACCTTTTATTGAGGACAGTTAGATGTATCCAGAAAAAGAAAACATAGAGTATCATTGGCCAAACAATCAAAGTCACAGTCCTGCCAAGCAAATGTTTTATTGTATGGCTCTGAAAATTAATTAACAATTGTAATATCTATACTTAGTAAAAAACAAAAGTAGCTTCAACTATTTGTATGCTGAGATCTTTTAAACTACACAATGGATTTAAATGCAGTTTTCATTAACATACAAAATGATGTAAGAGGAAGGTTTATACATATAAGCTAGTTAATGATTAATCTTTTAGACTCAGTTTACTTATAAGGAACTCACAACAGGTTTTTCTAAATCACCAAGCACATTCCACAGGTCTGCTATAGTTCTGAGTCCAACAAATATGACTATAAATAGTCCAACAAACTTGACAGACACAGTGCAAGCAAGAGATGCTCCTAGAAACACCTGCCAAGCAAGCATCCGAGTTGAGAATGGCTGTAGACCTTCATCTGTCAATGTTCTGACCTAGAAGCATTAAGGATTTTGAATAATTTAACATAATTGGATAATTTATCATCAAATAAACTTTATGAGATTATTTTATTTTACCTTAAATGCACCATATATTGAACAACTCATAAAAAATAATAGTATGGGATCTAACAGAATATATCTGTTGAGGGTCAGAAATCCAACATCTGAAAAGATCCTTTCATTAAGTATGTATCTATATATATTGTTATATTCAAATTAGATATATTTTTTAAAATATGTGTGGATTTAATTAGAAATTATTTTAGACTTACCACACAACAATAGGACAGTGCCTATAAATGTAGACTCAAGTGATTTTGTCATTTCCCATATTGTCAGGAAAGTCAAAGGTATCACTAATGCACCCAGTGTTGTACAGAACTAGAAAATAATAAATATTTATTCTAAATTATTGATTAAAAGAAATGTATGTAGATGGTAATTTAGGTTTTATAAGATTAAAAATTACACACTGCTTGAATAGATGCTGATTTTACTAATATTAGCATTAGTATTAGTATATTTTGTTGTACAGTGCCCCTTTTCAATCACAAATAATTGGCTCAGAATTTAGTTCATGAAATAATGAAGAAAAAATAATAAAATCGAACAAAAAAGACAAGTGCAAGTCCAACTCTGCTTATAAGGATTCTTTATGAATTTTTAAGTTGCAAATAATTCACTCTGGAATTGTGTCAAAGTCAAAGTCAAAATAATCTTTATTCAAATAGACTTCTTAAAAGTACTTTTGAATCGTCCAACATTTTTCCCTACCACTCGTTCAGGACGTCTTTTGGCTGATAAGAAGAACGAGCAAGAAACTCACCAGCTCTAATATGAGTAATGACATTTACAAAAACCATGTCATTACCAGATCAATACATTATAAACAGAGATAAAAAAAACTATGGTCTTATAATAATAACATAATCATTTAATAATAATGGAAACAAGATAATGAGTTTAGAAGTAATCACCTATCCAGTTGCTGGATCATCTCAAGTCCAAGCGTTCTTATCTGTTACATAATCGGATACCTTATAATAAGCTTTTTTAATAAGTATTTTTTTAATAGTAGATTTAAACTGCATGATATCTAATTGTTGTATTTTGCTTGGGACCTTATTGTAGAAGCGCACACAAAGACCCTTGAAAGAGTTATTAACTTTTTGCAGTCTAGTGACAGGCACCGTTAATTTATTTTTATTTCTTGTATTAAAATTGTGTACATCACTTTTAATAGAAAACAAACTAATATTTTTACGAACGTACATTAAGTTCTCGTATATGTATTGAGAAGCAACAGTCATAATGTCTATTTCCTTAAATTTCTCCCTTAAAGAGTCCCTAATCCTAAGATTATAAATTGATCGAATTGCTCTTTTCTGAAGCACAAAAATTGTTTGTATGTCGGCAGCATTTCCCCAAAATAGGATACCGTATGACATAACACTATGAAAGTAACTGAAGTATACTAATCTGGCAGTATCTATGTCAGTTAACCTACGTATCTTCATTACGGCATATGCTGCAGAACTAAGTCTACTCGACAATCTATCAATATGTGGGCCCCACTGTAGCTTAGAATCTAATGTTATTCCTAAAAATACTGTGGTATCCACAAGGCCCATGTTCTTATCTTTTACATTAACATTTATATCTACTTTTTTAACATTAGGTAGTACAAATTTTAAGCATTTTGTTTTTCCTTCATTAAGGAGAAGATTATTTACATTAAACCAATGTACTACTTTAGCGATAGAATTGTTCACATCGTCATTTAGAGGTAACCCTCTTTTAATTTTAAACAAGAGTGAAGTGTCATCCGCAAACAAAACTATTTCGTGATCATCCCTTACGAAATAAGGCAAGTCATTTATGTAAATCAAAAACAAGAAAGGACCAAGTATTGAGCACTGCGGAACGCCCATCTTAATTTTCGATCCAGGGGATCTTTTGCCATTGATATCAACCCTCTGTACTCTGTCAGTCAAGTATGAGACAATAAAATCCAATGATAACTCATTGGATTTTATTGTCTCTAAATCCATAAAAATGCAGTTTCCTAATCAATGTTTCATGAAAAACACAATCAAATGCCTATATAGGTCACAGAAAACACCTAACGCATCATGTGAATCCTCCCAGGCCTTAAAAATTTCTTGTATTAACTCGACACCGGCTTCGGTTGTCGAGCGACCCCTTGTAAAACCAAATTGTTGTCGATTCATAAGCTTATTCTTGTAAAAGTACGTTTGTATTTGATCCAGCATGATTTTTTCAAAAATCTTACTAAACGTAGGTAGCACGGATATAGGTCTAAAGTTAGTAGGGTCAGATGTGCTACCCGATTTATGTAAAGGAATAATTTTACTATATTTCATGAGCTCAGGAAAAATACCACAATCAGTACATTCATTAAATATATAAGCTAAGATTGGAGCTATTGTCTCAATTACCGATTTAGAAACTTCAATGGAATTACCCCATAAATCAGCAGTTTTCGTTTTCTTTAGCTGATTAAAAGATTTTATTATATCTTTAAAATCAATGTGTTGAAACTTAAATTGGCTATTAGAATTATTTAAACTTGCCTTTAAAATAGATTCAGCAACAGTGGAAGAGGAATTCAAAGATTGTGTAATTAAGACTGGAATTTCAGTAAATAAATTTTCAAATACTGTAGCAACTTCAAGATCTGATGTTACTTTTTTATTATCAATGTTTAAATTAAAATTTATATTCCGGGATTTTTCTCTTCCAGTTTCACTATTTATGATATTCCACGTCATTTTAACTTTATCTTTACTATTTTCAATTTTTGCATTTAAATAATTACATTTGGCTAAACGACACACTTTTTTAAATAATTTAGAGTAATTTCGTACATATTCTTTGAGTGTCTAGTTTTGTTACACTACTAGGATACCTAGTAGTGAGATACAAGCTAGAATGTTATCTTATAGATACATGTGGAAAAATATGACTCAGACACCTATTTATTATAGGTGCAGTCGCTTTCTATCTGTCTGTCCCTATGTATGCATAGATCTTTAAAACTATGCAATTACTTTGATGCAGTTTTTAATAGATAGGACAATTCAAAAGGAAGGTTTTTATGTATGATACAGGACAATGTGAGTATAGCCACTGATGAAAAGCTTGTATTATTATAAATAATCACCAGCCCTTTTATGTCCTCACTGCAGGGGCTCAGGCCTTCCTTATGGATAGTTAAGGATTATAAATAATGAATAAAATTTATCTTACTTATTACCATTCTCATCCCTTGATATTTGGCATCTTCATATTTGTCTCCAGGTTTTTCAAATGGGAATGTGCCATCATATCCTGTCAGCGTACCAGATAATGCAATGAGCATCTGAAAATTTAAGTTTAAAATTAGGTATAATATAAAATACTAATTATAACAGTTCTTTTAATGACTTCAAACACAATAAAAAGATTACATATTACATGTTATGTAATGAAATAAAATTCAGCATTACCACTATATACCAACCTTTCCCAGTGGTGGATGAACATCAAAGAAGAAAGTCCTATTGATGTACCAGCTGGCCATCTTTCCAAAATGAGTTTCATCCCAGCTGTAGAAAATATAATAAATTTCTGTTTTCTCCAATAAAAATATAAGCTACAGAAAGGTTTTTACTGTGCAAGTATAGTTAAAAACAGGTAAATAAACAGGTTGAGTAATTACAAAAAATAATGGTATAATAAAAATAATTACTAATATGATTGATTTTTTCATTTTAAATTTATTTATTGAATCACAAGAGAATTGCAATATTTCTTATACTAAGTTAAAAGTTATTAATTATTATATTGTATTTTTATCATAAACACAAGACACAATTAACTCTTGAATAGCTAAGCACATACCCAGTATACAATTTTTGTACAAAAGGTGCTGATGCATAGTTAATGTTCTTAAAATAAAGGGAGGAAAAGTGTCTCAATGTGATATCAGCAGTAAGGGCAGTAAAATGGATAGATATGATTATCTGTATGTGATATTACATAGAAATAGTATTTCTTAAATGCAATTTGAAGGGGTTTTTAAGGAGATGTAAGGGATTTTCTTGTATTTCAGTAATTGCAAATGCAATGATATATTTTAATGATTATAAAAGTGCTATTTACTGTTTGTTAATTTGATGAAAACTGAATGTTTTAATAAAATTAATTCAAATCTTTTTCCCTATTTACTATTTTAAATTCTACTATATCAAACATTCGTTTTCCTGAAAAAAAAAAAAATAATGGACTTTCGCTAATGGAATCCTTGTAAATCAAAGTTTTGTGAATTTACTGTGGACTTACCAAACATGATCAGGTTCTAATACTTTATAAAATCGTGTCACCAGAGTAGCTCCACAAAGTAATCCAAAGGTTACCCACCATCTAAAAACGAGTAACGGTACTAAAACTTTAGAAACTTTCTATAGTCTGAATGCTGATAATATAATATGGAATTCTAACAAGCACTCACATCTTACTGCTATCATAAGTATTATGTATTTTAGTAGTTTTACTGGACATAATGGACACTAAGTAAGTAGTTAGCAATTTTCCATAGAATGTCGAAATTTATCTAATTAAAAGTTTGTAACGGTAATAAATTAGATTCATTCTTCTTCTTTCAAAGTAGTTCTTGACAAACAGATTACGTTTTTTTTTTTTTTTGTTTATTAGTGTTTACGGCTCTGGATACTAGTCCTTTTAAGCCTTACATAGTTTTTTGACAGAATACAAGACAAAATTCGTTCATTGTTCTTTCTTCTCACTCAGATATTTTTGACAGTGTTGACATGACAACAAACTTGAATAACGGTTTAAAGTATTTGTAGTCTTTTAATAATTCTTCCAGCGTTGATGGTATGTTCTTGGTGATTGCTTCAAGTTCGCTAACAAGTACCAAGCGATGTAGTCCAAACCGTTTACATTTGAATATGATATGTTGCAGATCTTCATTTTCTTTACAATCAGGGCATTTTGGATCATCTGCCATCTTCAATCTATGCAGGTGAGTGCGAAACTGACCATGACCAAATCTCAATCTGTTTATAGTAGTTATGAACTTTCTACTCTGTATTGATTTATTGTACCACCAAGGTTGGGCGGGCGGGCTTCCTTGGACCTTTTTGTACCATTGACCTTTCTCTTTGCTAATTAACTCCCATTGGTTTTTCCAGAGCATCGCCAAGTTTTGATTAACAACAGCCTTAAAGTCAGTAAAAGGAATCTTCATTGATTGTGAATGGTCTTCATTGGGTGTGGATCGTGCTATTTCATCAGCCTTTACGTTTCCTGTAATGCCACTATGCGAAGGTACCCACATAAAATGTATAGTTTTATCTGAATCATTTAGGTTACTTAAGACTTGTTTGATATAAAACACTAAATAATTAACATCATATTTACAACTATTTCTAAATGAATTTAATACACTTTGTGAATCAGAAAGAATTAAAAACTTGTTAACATTTTGTAGTGCTGAGATATATATTAAAGCCTGATAGATAGCATAACATTCAGCTGTATATATACTACAATTACTTGGGATTAATATACATTTGCTTAAATTTAGCTGGACATCATAATAAGCAGATGTCACTCTATTATCAGTCTTAGAACCATCTGTGTATACTCTATAATAAGATTGGTTTTCTAGAAATTGCATTAAATCTTTGTTATTTTGTATTGGTTCAGAATGTAATATGAAATTACAATTTATCAATGCATTATATGAAATATTGTACAGAGGCCAAGTATTATCTATATACAGATTTGAATAAAATTTATGTACATATAGCACAATTGCTACCATTTCTGGAGTGTATCCAGTATTAAGTGAAGCATTATTGATATAAGAACCTCTTTGCATATTCTGTAAAGTTTCTAAAGGTAATAGTCTGCCTGTAATAAATGAGCTTTTATAAGAAATAGTTCTTAAGCAAAATCTTTCTGCCAACTGTAAACGCCTGAATATGAGTGGTGGAATACAGCTTTCTGATTGCATCACATGAATAGGAGTAGAACACATTGCCCCAGTTATTATTCTCAAAGCTCTATTTTGAAGAACATCTAATTTACGTAATAAACTTGAATTAGCATTCATGTATGCTAGACAACTGTAGTCAAAGTGACTTCTTACCACGCTTTTATAAAGCATTGACAAAATTTTCGGATCTGAACCCCAATGTATACCAGCCAGAGATCTAAGTACATTTAAACCTTGTGTGGCACTTTTGATTATCTTATCAAAATGTTTCTGAAAGCTCAACTTAGGATCTAAACTTACACCCAAGAATTTGTGGTCTTGAACCCATGGTAAACAACTATTATTGTACATAACATCATTATTAAGTGTACTATAAGGTATCTTACTAAAAATCATAGCAGAACTTTTTGAGGCACTTATTTCTAATTTTAATATATTTTTGTAATAGTGGTGTATTTCTGTTAATGCTCTATTTATTTTATTGATAGCAATATTTACATTATTATTTACAGTATATATAACTAGGTCATCAGCAAATTGTAGAAAATATACATTATTTTCCTTTAAATGTTGTTTAATTTGACATGTATAAATATTATACAATATAGGAGAGATTGTTGCTCCTTGCATAGTACCTTTGTAGACATTTCTTGGACCATGTAATATATTGTTATACTTTATATACATATGTCTGTTAAATAAAAAATCAAACACCCATTTACAGAGTTTACCTGGAACACCAATATCATGAAGGACTTGGGACATGATGGAAGGATTCACATTATCGAATGCACCTTTAACATCAAGAAATGCACAAACTGTCACGGAATGTTGAAGAAATGATGTTTTTATATCAGATATCAATGAAATAAAGCTCTCTGCAGCACTGCGACCTTTGCGAAACCCAAATTGTTCTATAGGTAATATTCTATTACTTTCAATGTAATAATCTAATCTTATTTTGATAATGTTTTCAAATATCTTACCTATACAAGAGGACAAAGAGATAGGTCTATATGAATTGCTTTCTTGTACTGGCTTATCTGGTTTAAGGATTGGAATAACACACTGTGTCTTCCATGATTGTGGTATTGTCTGGCATTCCCAGAGTAAATTAAATATAACGAGTAACTTTTTTTGTGCATTTATATGCAATTTTTTTATAAGATTATATGTGATATCATCAAGACCAGGGGTAGTGTCTTTTCTAGACTGTAAGGATGTTTGGAATTCTTCCCATGTGAATGGTTTTATAAGAAATTGAGCATTTAAACTTCCATTGCTATCAAAAAAATATTTTAACTTATCCAAATCTATATCTTTTTCAGATGGAATTGAAGGTGCATATTTATCAAAAAAGGATGGGACCCAGTCATCATTTTTAGGTCGTTTGGAAGATGAAATTCTTTTGAATCGCCTCATGAAATTCCATATTATGCTTACTGGAGTGTATCTATTAAAGGACTCACATAATTTTAACCAACTGTTTTTTTTCTTTTCACAGAGTAGTCGCTTTTTGTGAGCGTCACTTTTTTTGTATTCTATGTAATTATCAATAGTTGGATGAGATCTATAGAAATTTAATGCTAGTTTGCTTTTTTTGACAACTTCTTTACACTCATCGTCCCACCATGGAACTGGTTTCTTTTTAACGAATGTAGTATTCTTTTTTAATTTAGGTATATATTTTTCTTTGAGAATATTCAATATCTTACAAAAATTATTATATGTATTCAGAGAATTGTTATTTTCAATTGTAATATCATCAAATGCTGATTCACTGTCAATATAAAAGTTTTTCCAATCGGCTCTGTTGTATAGAAACCGTTCAAAAGGTTCGCCTATTTCATATTTTTCAATTGAGACGTGAATATCTATGATGGTGGGATAATGATAACTGCCCATTGAGTCAGAATATACACTCCAGTTACACAATGGAGCCACAGAAGGACTAACACATGATATGTCTATTGCTGAAGGACTTTGACCAACACGTCCTACAGTGGTTGTAGAGCCCGAATTTAGGATGCATAAATCGCATTCGTCAAACATGTTGTAAATATTGTTACCTCTGTTGTTAGTTGAGTGACAGCCAAATGCTATGTGGTGTGCATTAAAATCTCCTGAGACTAATATAGGTTTAGGTAAATCATTAATAATCTTTTTTAAATTGTTGCTCTGAAAGTTTAAACGCCCTTGCTTCGGAGGAGGACAATAAATGCACAATATAGAGAGATTACCTATATCAGTAAGTATGGTAATACCTACTGCTTGTGATTCTTCATAGAAAGGAATTGAATGGACAGAATATTTGAAATAATTTTTGATCAAGATCGAGACTCCACCTCGACCACCAATACCTATTTGATTAATTATGTCATAGCTAGAAATATGTATATTATTATTTTCTTTTAACCAGGTTTCATTTAATAAGCAAATATCTATGTGATTCTCTTGAAGATAATTGATGAGGAGTGGTTTTTTGTTAATAACACCTTCTATGTTAAACTGGGATATTCTTAGAAAACTTTTATCCATTATTTAGGTTTTAGAGTTTTAATAAGTATCTCCTGTATTATGTTACTAGTTATGGCTCTATCTTCATTTCCTATTGCAACCAGTGCGCCAACTATGGCCTTGCGGATAAAGTCGTTATTGATTATTTCATCAATTAACTTTTCATTTGAAAGTTTCACCACTTCTGTGGTTTGTGTAGGATTTAGGATGGTAGAAGGGGTAGTGGTGGAGCCTTGTATTTTATTTGGTGTTAAGGGCTTTTTAGGGGTAGACAATTGCGGGAAGTTAGTTTGATAATTATTCATAGTCATATTACCATTGTATCGTTCTCTTTTGGATAATAAAGCGTTTGCATAACTTACTTTGTTTTTCTTTTCGTCAATTTTTTGTTTTTTAATAGGACAGTCACGTGAAATAGAGAGATGTGAACCTTGACAGTTTGAACATTTAATGACTTTATCATTTGGACATTGTGTGTAATGGTGCTCCTCGGAACAAACGGAGCATTTTTGTACCGATTTGCATACTTTCGCCCCATGGTTGAATTTAAAGCACTTATAACACTGTAATAAAGGTGCATTATATTCATGGACTCTGAATCGGAACAAATCAAGATAAACGTATTCTGGTAGTACATTTGATAAGAAAGTTATGCTGACTGTTTTAAAAGTTTTGATAGTACCATTCTCTTTTTTTGTAAACCTACGTACAGCTACAATTTCAAAAGGAGAGCTTAATTTCTTAAATAACTCTTCGTTACTAATACTGGTGGGTACGAAGCGTAGTACACCAATCTTTTCTACTGCTGAGGCCGGGATATATGCTTTGAATTTGTGCTTTGATAAGAAATCTTCATTTTTTAGAAAGTTATTGGCGTGGTTCGCTTGAGAAAAGGTCACACAGATTTTAGTGGGGTTGATCCTTTTTATATTGATGATGCCCTTTATATCGTTTTTGAACAGATTGGTCGTCAGAATTGGATTGTTGTTGCCTAATTTTTCGTTTTCTTTATAACTTTCTA